AATAATACGAACAAATTTTTTCTTCATTTTTTCATTTTAGCGCCGCTGACTTGATTGAGCTTGCTTTTGCTTTGTTTTTGGCTAGCCATAGTAATTGGCGGTTTGTTGCTGTCAGCTGGTCGTTTACGTGCACTATTTTATTGTTACTTTTTGTTATGTTGTGGTCAATTTCACTTGCATTTATTCTCCTTCGCTGCATCTTGTGCATAAGCTGACGCTTAATGTGCATATTAGAGAACTTCACGACGATGTTGTTATTTTTTGCCTTAGTTCGGTATACGCTGTCGATATCGCTATCAGCTAGGCTGAGTTGGACAGCCTTTGCTATGCTTTGGACAATGTTTTTAACATCCTCTCCGTCTCGTTTTTCAACATTGCTTATGACTACGCTCTTCTCCAATGATTTTTGCTCGATCGCATTGATTTTGCGTTCTAATGCAGCAATGCGGACGTCTTTTTGTTTGCATACTTCGTTTAGTTCGTCAACCGTTTTCGCCAGCTCAGCTACCGTGTCTTGTAGTTTCGTGATTTTGTCTACAAACTCTTTTTTCACATCTTCATGCGAGCGGGTATAATGTCCAGTTAGCTCTTCGATCATTCGCTTGATCTCTTTCGCGTCAGATTTCAGTTCGGACACATTTGATTGCACAGTGCCAACTTCGGATTTTAGGGCATTAAGCGAGTGCTGCTTATACTGAGAATGCGTGTGAGAATCGTTCTCTGGCGTTTGTTGTTTTTTCTGTGTAGTCACAGGTTGAAAGTTTAGATCAGCTGGCGTGGTTGTGGCTAATGACCTGTGTGTCCGACGGCATTTAAAACATCTCCAGTTTCGTCGTCGTTCAGAGCTCATCGCTGAGTACGTGCTGTCTGATATCTCAGTGCATATGGAGAAATGGTATTTGTTAGTGCAATTTGAGCACGTAATAAAGCTGCCGTTGATTGGGAGCGGTTTTAAGCATTCATCGCACATGACTGTTGTTGCGTTAAGATTCGTTGGTCATTGCAAGAAGGTAGTCGGGGAGCTGAGCCGGGTGAAGATTGTATAGTTTTATTTTTTACCGATACAACAACACTTTGATACACTTTTTCGCGGAGGTTTGATGTTTGAGGAATTTACTTTAATTTGCAAATTTTTCTATACATTCATATCGAAAATTATATTTTGCCACTGGGAGATAGCACTGCAGCGTTTAACTACTGCTTATGAATATATAATTCTGCCAAAAAGTGGTTAAGTTCTATTATTTTTTAACTTTATTTTGGAGCTATAGAAAAACACGTCTGTTCGCTATCACTCACTAAATCATAGAGTTCGAATCAAAGGCAGCAGCAGAGCTAATAGCAGCAGCAGCATAAGATAGCGAGCCTTTAGTTGAGGTGGACGATGATGTTGACGTGCAAACAGTGTTGCCACAGAATTTTTTTATTTTT